CACATGTTCTCAGAAAAGACGGACACACACACACATAGGCAGCATCAACCCAACACCCATGCATGCACATTGGACGACCAGTGGTGCCGACTGACAAACTGCTACGCTCAATGTGTTTCTCGACACACATTTGGCAGATTTAGACGGTTGAAAAGCAAACGGATCAGGTTAGTATCTAAAGAATTGCATCCATTTGGGATGAAGCCACACGTCGCACTGACTTACGTCTGATGCCATCATCTGCAAGCTGCAGAAAGGGCAACTCTAAAAACATCAGCATTGCATTCTAATTCAGGGTTTTGCTCAAGCAACCAGTGTCAACTTTCTTTTCAGGCAGACGGTTGAAGAAAGCTTTGTTACTGGTACACTCAGTGTTTAATGAACCCACATTCCAAACATCTCCTTGTTCATCATTTCATTTTTGGGCACTACCTGAGTATGTTTACAGGCTTTAGTATTCATTTAACATTCAGGAAACGCATCATTTTTCTGATACTGCACATTGCTGCAGCGTCTCTTCTCAAACTCTCCGTTTTAGCTCCCGTCTCTTTAAGGCCTCCCCTCCCTAAAAGCTCAGTCTGCTCCGATTGGTCAGCTGGTCAAAGAAAAGCGAGGTATTGTTGGCTACGCGTCATCATCCAAGATCTATGAGTTTGGTGATGTAGTTCTTGCAGTGACGGAATAATGATCACACTCTGTTTGAAGGCAGAACTAACCAGCTGGTGTTATCCAGGTGTGTTACGTAGTGATGTAGATGAGTGACGGAGGAAACGCTTGACTTCAAACGAGGTGTTTCAGACAGGTAAGGAGCAGCGTTTTCTGTGGAGGACAGAAACTCCCTTTGGTGTGGTGCTGGTTGTAAGTTTGCTGACCTTCAACATGCATAAGAAAAGCAGCAATAGGACACAGCAGCATGTGGGCTCTTTGATGCTGTACTAACAACAGCACTACTCTCCAACAACACACTCTGATGTGGAGTTCACATGTAATACTATAAATAGGTCATTTTTGGGCCACATCCACGCATGTAGGAGCGCAGTTCATGAAACAAAGTTGTGCATTTGGGCACAATTTCTTCAAGATATTAAGATACCGTGAAAAAGATGTATTCCACATACTACTCCTGCATCTAGTTCCTGATCGTGCAAAGGGTGCCAACCGAATCAAGTCATCAATGACCTGCAGCCCTTAGCAATGGCATCAAAACTCTGGAGAAAACTCTGAACTCTAAATGTAACCGGACCAGCTCTCGGTTCCGTCCAGCTGGTGGGGAAGGTGTTTATGGTGTCATTTATTTTGAACTGTAAATGAACAAGCTAAGGGCTAATCCAAGATTACTCGGTGTTGACTTCTCTGGACCCTTTAATACAACGGAACGTCCCGTACGAGGAAGAAAAGCTTACGGCCTTCTTCCATTTAGATCATCGACTCATGACGGGGATTAGCAGTTTCCAGAACAGAACTCAGACAGTAGCTGTAAACGGTCGAGCATCTGAATCAGGCGGCACCGGCTCGTCGAAGGATCGTGTCCTCGGTATTTTAGTTTTTAACTTGTGCCAAACTACTGTTGGAAGAAATAGAAAAATACTGTCGAACTTGCTGGAGACGGACAGATGGTCCCACAATGAAAGAATTTGTGGACTGCAGTGATTTTGTTTTAAAATTTAAATGTAACCAAAACACAAGAACTGACAATTAAAACATATCAACAGTTTTCAAACAGTCATTTAAGGCATAAGAGTTGAAGATTTGGTGAAAATGCAGATTGAATTGTAATAACGGCTCAGTACTGCCAACCAGCACATAAACTCCTCCAAAGAACAAGAAGCGATTCTAAAGTGAGGTCAACCTCAGCTTCAAAACTATTTGCATAACATACACAATTCTGATTTAGCTTAAGGCAAAACACTAGAGGCAAAAACAAGGCTTTTCCATGCACTGGTTAGTTTTTGGGAGACTTTACCTGCATGTCTTTTACCAGACAAGTAGAAATAAAACATCCCACATACACATTTAGGTGGTTATTTTACCCCAAGTTAACTATTTCAGTCTGAATATTTCAGTTATGCTTCATATCTTCTAAAGCCGTTTTCTCAAAGTGAGTTTTTTCTTCTGCTTCTCCACTTCAGTAGCACTTACATACACCAAACTTTCCTCTTTTTGTCTCCTCTCCCTGTTCTGGAGGGTTTTACACAGGGGGCTGGTTCACATATCCTTCACAGCCTGAACAATTTATTCCTAAAAATTCCGCCAAGCAGATATATGGGTCAGGTGATGTCGGCCTATCACTGATATATCCACATCAGCGTATAGGTCGTCTATTTTTAAAGCACAATGATGCCCTTTGTAATGTATAAGCAGTGATATCATGAGGTTGATCCAGCAGAGCAGCTCGAATGTCACTGTTTATACTCTCTGCACTGTCTGCAGCACATGTAGCAGAGCAGGTATCACAGCTGAGATGGTGATGGTGCAGAGTCCAGCGGTGTCAGAAAGACATAAATCTCGTCACACATTTTCTCTTCTAATCTAATAGCATCAAGAATGTGTCTGAGGTTTCTCACGTCTCTCGTAAACAAACTGAAAGAACTTTGATTTCATTCAAGATTCTTCACAACTTGTATTTTTCTCTTCTTTCCTTAGGGGTTGGTGGATCGTCTATTTAGATTTTATCTGACTTGAATCGAGGTTGAACAGCTAGAAGAAGCCACATGTTTGTTTCTCTAAAGCCCGTTGAAGAGTGAAAACTAAACCCGGCACTTGTTGCATAATGAGCTGTGATTCCTGAAAGGGCTAAATTAAAAATAGAGCGAGCAGGAGGCTGCAGACATCAGAGTGGCTCGTTGTTCAAACACTGGAAAACTCCTTCATTCATACATACAGGAGTTGGTGTTTGAAGGAGACTCCTCCAACGGTGAAGGTTGTCTGTTGTCAAAGCCGGAGTCTCAGAAACACAAACCGTAAACACAGAGGTGATGATACTGTGGCCTCAGAGTGAGTGTGGAGCTCTTATTGATGACTGATGAAAGAGGCCTGTTAAAGCTGGGTTGTAAATAACTGTGAGGGACGGCGGGTCAGCTCAGCGCTGACATACGAACATACATCCTGACAACCAGCTCCGGTTGCTTTCACCTCTTGATGTTTCCCGCAGTCTGTCCAGCAAGTGAAATATTAGGTGCTGGAGGGAAAAATGTAGCGTAAAAAGGTACTGAAGATGTTTTTGGCACTATTTTGTCTTAATCCAACTGAGTTTTTGAAAGCATTATGACATTTAAATATCTAGATTTGTCCTATATGACAGCCTGGCCCTGAAGTGAAATGAAACCAAATGACTACAAAAGAAACCAGATTTTATCTTCCAGTTGGAATTATATAGAATGGAAAAGCTACTGGACATCAGATCCAGTTAGAAATGACCGAATGTCTTGTCAGGATGAGGCTGTTAGCTGCTGAGATACGACTGGTCATACCTGGCAGCAATACTTAGAAAAACTGGCCCCATATCGAAATCTAACCCATCCATCATCTCTACACCTTAATCCTCACTAGGGTCATGGGGGGCGGAGTCTATCCCAGCTGACTCAGGGTGAAGGCAGGTTCACCTGGACAGGTAACCAGTCTATCACAGGGCTACACTTAGAGACAGACAACCAAGCACACTCACATTCACACCTACGGACAATTTAGAATCACCAATTAACCTCAGCATGTTTCTGGACTGTGGGAGGAAGCCGGAGAACCCGGAGAGAACCCACGCTGCACGGGGAGAACATGGAGACTCCACGCAGAAAGATCCCGGGTGTCCTCACCGGGACGCAAACCAGCGACCTTCTAGCTGCAAGTCAACAGTGCTAACCACCAAGTCCTAAATCTAGAACATTTCTCACCTAAAAAACACCAAAGATTATGCTCATATAAGGGAAAAAAGCAGCAGCAACAGCTTTGGTTCACTGTAATGTTCCTGCTAATCCAAATGGAGCCTTCATAGTAAACATTTGTTTTCCTTTTTCTATGTGCGTTTGGGTGGATGTTGCATTTCTGGATTTTGAGTAAGTTTGATAAGATGGTTACTGTCAGTCTAGGGTATTGTGAGTCATTACGTCCTTTGTCTTGTAGTCTACTGGGTTTTTATTACAACTTGCTATTTTTCAGGCATTGCTTATTTCTGATTTTATTGTTCTCATTATTTAATACTTTTTTAAAATTAAGCTTATGCTCTTTTCACTTTTCTTAAGTTCAGCACTTGCAATTGACTGATAAACTGTTGAGGTGATTTGACCAGGAGACATGACCGATAACATGTTTGTTCATGTCCAATCATAGTTTATCATCATTAGGCCGCTAAGAACCGGTACCGGGAACATGAAAGTCTCCAAAAAAAATGGCATCTGATATCCTGTGTATGATACTGGCTTTTTCTACAACAAAGCAGGACAAAAGAACCGTGGATCCCTCCGAGGGCCATTTTTGTGCCAATCTTGAGTAGCGGGAACCAACTCCTAATGTGTCTTTAACTTTTCGGACCACTATTCTGAGTTTTGGGGGTTCAGATCAAACAGATATTCCAGAAAGACATCAAAATCCATCTGTTGGACAAAGCAGTCTGGTTCCTATTCTGACTCACCAGATGTAGACTGTAGGTATAAGTCTGGAAGAGTTCAACAGGTTCAGGGACATCCCACAAAGGAAATCACATGAACAGTGCAACAACAGACACATCCGATTCATATCTTCCAACACCAGAAAATCTCCACACAGTGTCGCTGCAGAAGAGCTGCTCTCAGTGTGTTTATTACATAGACTGAAAATGTCAGCAGTGGTCAGCAGCTGTCACTGACTGTCAACGTGAAAACATCGATCTTAGCTCAGTTTGTTTGGGCACAGATCAGCTCACTTCATCAACTTGGAATGAGTTGGTTTTGGGCGCCGCCACAGCTCACCTGGCTGAGCTGGCGTCCCATGTATAACAATGAATACTAGTGTCTGTATCTGTTTCACAGGTGGGTCAGCTCCTCTAGCAGCAACAGTGGACTTCAGTTCCCACAATCCTCAGACAGAATGTTTCTGTGGGCAGGAAGTAAAGCAACAGATGGAAGAAATGACCGCAGGTATGATTTCAGCTTGACTCGCTGGTGTTTTGATAAATGTCCACAACTCAGGAGCACGATCACCTGCTTTAGTTGCTGTCAGCAGATGTGTCCTCAAACTCTTTCAGATCGATATACCAGAAGATCCGTGAGTACGAGGTCTTGGACAAGAGGAAGACCGTGACGGCTCTGAGGGCCGGAGAGGACAGAGCCATACTGCTGGGTCTCAGCATGGTCTTCCTGTCTATCATGATGTACTTTGTCCTGGGAATCACCATCCTGCGCTCCTACTCTGACAGGTAACACCCACGGATGGATTCATCAGCATGTAGCCACATTGGTCCATGAAACAGAAGAAGCTCTTGTCTATCCCGTCTATGACCCCAACATCAAACTGTCCTGCTCTACAGCGTGTGGACGGACGAGGTCAGCTGCTCCATCGTGAACTCCACCATAGTGTGGGATGTGAACTGTTCCTACAGCTGTGGAGCCGAGTGCTGGAAGAGATCCCGTTACCCCTGTCTCCAGGTCTACGTCAGCCTCAACTCCTCAGGGAAGGTGGTGCGACTGCTGCACAACGAGGAGACGTACGACAGCAACCCTGAGGTACTGATGCTGCTGCTGTTGTTTCCTGTGGGGTGTTTCTACTGGTATGTTTGGCTCAGATGGAGAGGATCAATATGGTTTTCTGTTGTCTGTAAAGATTCTCAGTCATCCAGGTCATGGTTCTTCTGGTAGTCTAACAGTAGCAACTGAGTTTCTTGAAGACGTTCCACCTCTCATTCAAGAGGCTTCATCAGTTCTGACTGACTAGTTGGGAGTTCCACATGCTGATATCCTTAAGGAGCCTTTAACACCTGAGTTTTGGTTTCAATTGGAGGTTTGTTGCTCCTCCCCCTCGTTATGCGAGTCGTTAGCGCTCCTCCCGCTACAGTGGGGTTCGTCAGGGTCTATGGTGGCTAGGTGTGGGTGTGGTTTCATCTTCCTTTACTTTCTGTTTTGAGCAATTCTCCAGACCCAAATGTTCTCAGTTCAATTATATGTGGAATTTTCCTAGAACATACAGTATTATATTCAAGCTGCATGCAGAGGATGAAAAAAAAAACATCCCCACCAGGATTATATCCATGAAGGCATGGACTGGCCATCAGGAAGTTTGGGAGTTTTCTCAGTGGACTGTTCTTCTGACTGTTGTTTCTGTATACTTATTCAAGATGCCTCTGAGCTGCTGCTACAATCCACAACAGTCGGTTTAACCTGAATGTGTGACACCAGAGAAACCGAACACAACTTTCCCTGTCCTTCATCTTTTCTTCCTTCCTCCCTGTCAGTGCTTCTACATCCCAAAGTGCCGGAAGGACTACTCAGCGACGCACACCATCATTCAGAACATTTCTGATCGTCTCCGGTCTCAGCGCACCATTCAGTGTTTCGCTGACCCCACAGACAGATCGGACAGCGCCATCCTCACCCAGATCTACGGCCGGGTCGCCGTCTTCCACTCCCTGTTCTGGCCAACATGCACTCTGATTGGAGGAACCGTCATCATCGCCATGGTGAAGCTGACACAGTACCTGTCCATCATGTGTGAGAGGCTGAGCCGCATCAAGAGGTGAAGATCTGGACGGCCACGAGCTACGATGGAAGCTCCTGATGTATGGACAAGGGGGCGACTACAGCGGGTCTACGGGTCGAGACTGGAAGGTGTTTTCTGTCTGAGACAGCTGGACTGCTGAAAGACACTGACAATCTCAAAGCAGCTACAAAGACAAGCGGGTTTTTCTACAAAGGGTCAAAATTCAGATTTGACGATGATCCCAATGTGTTGTGCAGCTTGTCACCACAGCTGGTGTTTAAAGCTCAGTTACAATCGTTGAAATTGTCGTTTTTGTTGGCCAGTAATTTCATCAGATTTGCACAAATGTGACATGCTGTGCTCAGATAGCCACCTGCTCCACTCTCTGGCACAACTAGTTTTATTGCCAAAATGTCAACCAGTTCTTTTAAAGACAGGTCATCATCTTCTCAAACTGCAGCTTGGCACCAAAAAGTGACTTTTCAGCCCCGTGTTTATCATCTCTGTTCTGATCTGTGTGAAGATCAAGTGGGGTTTGGCTTAAGGGCTTGATGCCTTAAAACAGACACAAGTGGAGTTTTGTGCCTTCGAGTCGTTTCACTGAAGCAGACTTCTGTTCGTCCACTTTCTGTTCGTGTCCCTTTAATTTTTCCAGATGACTTCAGTAAGTGCAGAGTGTGATCACAGTGTTTTCAGGCTTTTCCTGCATAAATGGATTTTTGGCACAAAGACATGTCAGCCAGAGCCAAAGGAAAACCACCGGTGCCAAAATGATAGCAACTGAGAATTGTTTTTTAAATTAACCCGTTTTGTGAATCAGGGCTTTGCTCACCTATTCGTACATATGTTGGTTTTTACATGTGGCCATTACGAAAAGGAAACTGCATAGACTTCCTGTCAAAAAACACAACACAGAGTCACTGCCTTCACTGTAAATCACACAAACTGTTGTGCATTGTCACCCACAAACTGCCATCAAGAGCTTGTCTTCGCCGTCTTAGTTTTACAGGTTTTTGGCGAGTGATTCATCTGAGTTTGATTCGGTAGGTCACTGCTAAAGAAACCTCTTTAAATTTGTTGTCAGGGGCTCCGTGGCTGAAAGGACCAGAGAACATGATTCCGTCTTTGGTTCGATGAAATTCTGCAAAAGCAAACAGGTGATAAACAGAAAGGTTTCCCGTCATCTCGTCTGGATGCCTCTTTTCTGTCTAACACCAGCGTGAGCTCACTCACCACATCCATTACCGCTAGACTGGTGCAGATGTTGGTGGCGTCCGTCCAGATTCTGCACATGATTGCAGAGAAACAAAGGAAATGGCCTCCTGACAGGAAAACCAGTGAAGCCCATTTTCTCGCACTGGGTTTTATTTTAGCTCGTCACAGTTAAACCATGGCTGGCTCTGATTGGTTTAAATGTTCTTTCCAAATAAGTTTTGTTACAGGAATCAATGTGCTGCCAAATAAACACAATGTGCCTCTTGATAACAACCGTGACCGTTATTACTGATCGATATGATTTGGTATTGGTTACTACAAGCTCTTTCATTTTGATGTCACCAATGTTAAATATGGTTTCTATCAAGATCACAGCATTCAACCAAACTGCACACTCCTCATGTACTAGTCTTAAAGGTACCACGTTGTTCACATCTGCATAAATATACAGAAAAAGGTTTCATTATCTGTTTTTATTCAATGTCTAAAGCTTCTGGAGACCATTTATCATCATGCCATTTGGTTTAATGATTCTAAAATATGAAGTTGTAGACTGTAAAAAAAAAAAAAAGTTTAAATCCCATAAAAAGGACTTGAAAATCTGACAGCAACGTTCCTGAAAAATACGTTTAAAAAAAATAACATTTGAAAACTGTAAAAATAACTGCAAATATCTGTAAAATAATATATTTTTTAGCAGATTTAAATAAAGTGAACCAGCTCCATTTTACTCATGTGACAGAACAGATTGCTTTTTAAACCACAGATTTGTGACGAGCTTAACGAATATTATCAGTAATTTAGCAAAATAGGGAAAATCTGTAAAATTACATTTATTATTTTTTAATATTAATATACATTTTCCTCAGTATTTTGTGCTGATTTAAATATAGCAGAGATAGCGTAATTTAACAAATGTTATAAAACGCCTGACGATGTGCTTTAAGTCACATCCATGTACCATAAATCAGATTTAAATCTTTAATGACGTGCTGTTCACTGATCAAGGTGAGATGAACTTTTTTAACCTCCTGCAACAGTTTATTATTTTAACTGTGGCAGCAACTCTTTTTTTTCCACTTAGATTTTTATTTGGTTTTTATAAACATAATTACATAATTTTCCATTTACTGTCCGTCTGTTCTTCTTGTAGTCACAGTTTGTGGGTTTAGTTTTTACAGATTTCTTCAATAATCATCAACCATTGGTCCTTTGTAGCAGCAAATCTTAGATAAGCTAATCCTGACTACTGAATTAATAATTAATTAGACATCTGTGTAATCTCCCGAGTCATAAAAGTGATCATGCGAATGTTGCATGAACGTCTTGGACAAAAACAAAGCGACAACCTGCAGAGCTGCAGTCGGTCGACTCTGCAGCTGAAGTCATGGTGCTCAGGTGGATCGTTGTGCTCCTGGGTCTGGCGTCGGTGAGTGTAGCGCCGTGCATGTGGATAAATCAGAACCGTGGCTGCTGCAAATGCTTTAGTGTGGTGTTCTCTACTGAGGAGGACGTCAGTCTGTTGAACCAACTGATTATTGTGCTTTCTCATTTCCACACAGACGGCAGCCAAGCTAACAGGTGAAACAGGTGAGTCGAGTAATACGATGTTCGTTGTTGATGATTGTTGAAGGACGTTTCAGATGACTGGTGACTCTGTTTTGACATCCAAGGCCCTGCTTTACTCTACACACAGCAGCACTGAACCTATGATGCTTTAAGGTGTCCCGAGACCTTCTTTATATCACACCGGGCTGCATATTATTGTCCCACGAGGAGAAATTTGAGGCAGATTATGTCCAAAAAGATCATCAGAGTTATTTTAATCTATGTTAAAGTCACAATTCTTGACTTTAGGGACAAAACATATTAATTGCACAAACATTTCCCTCAAAGTAAAACTCAAAATAACCTTCAGAATCTAAATAAAAGTGCTTATCAGACACTAAAATGTACAGATGTTCCCTAAACGTCTTACATGCAGGCTGGACGTCTGTGCTCAGAAACACCTCTGGTCTCCAATCAGCGACTGCATTACAGTGTAAAGAATGAAATGAGGTGTTCTAATGGCAGCTTTACCCAACCTGAAACCACGCGACTTTATCTGCAACAGTGGAGGTTTCAACAAGTGAAGCATTTCAACATTGCAGTCATTATTGTTTATGAAGTGTAAGAACTGTGCAGCCACTGGTTGACGTTTGATCAATGTGGCTGCAACAACACAGCAGTGTTTTAAGATCATTTAAATATAATTTAGTTCATTTTTAATTTAATACAACCTCAGATTCTGACGCAGCTTTTATCTTGTCACAGTTCATGGTGATGTAATCTCATTATTATCGTTTCCTTCCTGCAGAAACTGACGTCGACGAAGGCCACGACTGGGACATCTTCAACATCAACGAAGGTTTGCTGACTCGTGGTGTTTCTGTTTGGTTTTGCAGTAAAATGTGAGGACTTCCATCAATGAGCTTAATGTTTCTTTGCAGCGGCAGGAATGGACCTGCTGGAAGGAGACATCGTTCAGGATGAAGTGAGTTCATGTGACTCTGCTGTTAATACTGGACTCAGCCAGGACTGTACTCCAGTTATGTTTGTGATTGTGTGTGTGAAGGATTGTTTAGAAGTGAGATAATACATTTTATATGACATTATAGTTCAATTACATTCGATATGCATGAAAAGAAAACTACCTCCATCAGGAATTTGGTTGTTCCTGTTGTGCTCTTGTGCAAACATCTTTTTCACACCTAATTTTAGTAAACAAGCACCACAAAGTAAAACTAACGTCACGTATCATCATGTTTTCTACGTTGTCCGAGGTTTTCAATTCAATTTTTTTTCAATTCAATTTTATTTGTATGGCGCATATTTACAACAACAAGTCATCTCATAGCGCTTAACAAGGCAGAAACACCCAACAATCCAAAACATCTGGATTCCCTATAAGCTTCAGCAGTCTGCAACAGTGGGAAGGAACCGAAAACCGAAAAAAAACCTCCGACAGAACCAGGCTCAGGGAGGGACGGCCATCTGCCTCCACCGGTTGGGTGGATGTAGGATGAATTATACAATGTAGTGTCCAGTTAAACAAGTTATTAGAAGTTATTGTCCTTTTGTTCCTCCATTTCAAATGGACCAATGAAATATTCCATGTCATAGTTGGTGGAGGTAACAGGAGGCATCATGGTGGGGCAGCAGGATGCAGAAGGTGAGGCCAGCGGCTGTAGTTCAGGAGCTCCAGATCCAGAGACATCCACAGAGAGAGCAGGCGCAGGAGAACCTCGGGGGAGTCACAGAGTTTTGACTGATGCTACTTGAATTAAACCATCTGCTGCTCGTCTGCAGCAGCCTGAGAGAGTTCATGCCACTGACTGTTTGTCTCAACAAGTCGACTCCTAACTATTCCAGTTTTCTCAAAATCCAATAAAATTTATGCTACTGTGACAAAACTTTGATAAATTTTCCATCAAACTGTATTGATTTTTTTTTTTTTTTACAAGTAGCCTCAAGTATCAAAAAAATGTGAATGTAAAAGATTTAATGTTCAATTAACTTGATTTTTTCTGCAATCAATTTTATACAAAGACAAACTAGTTGATCAGCTGTGACACGTCTGTCTCGTACAGAGAACAGCTGACTGTATGAGCACTACAGGAATCAACCTGTCGCTGTGATAGGTCATTCTAAAACGTCGCTGTGTTCCTCATTTCCATCAGACACTCGGCAGAAACTCCATATTATCGGACGCGTACCGCTGGCCGACAACCATCCCCTACTACCTGGAGGAGAGTCTGGGTAAGGCGTGATGAAAACAGCACTCATCATGAACCAAATCAAGACGCTTTTCTAAACGTTTCTTCGTCCTGCACTCGGTGGCGTGTAGATATGAACGCAAAGGGAGTGATCCTGAAGGCGTTCGACCAGTACAGGCTGAAGACCTGCATCGACTTCACACCGTGGAGCGGCGAGAAGAACTACATCTCTGTGTTCAAAGGCAGCGGGTGAGTCCAGGACAGATGTTCACTGAAGGTAGTTTTTGACTCTTTTGTGTCTTGTGACGAGTTTATTCTAAGGCTGCAACGATTCGTCTGCATAATCGGTGATGTCACCATTCTAAGCTGACACATGGCGTTTTTCTTAAAGGCTTCAACTCATTGGAACAAATATTTTTCTGCTGTATCGCAACGTGGCATCAATCCGCTCGAGTCACTGGTCAGCTGCACTCAGTGTTACGGCTTCAGTCAATGACTCCATCTGAAACTTGGATCTTTTGGGGGTTTGCAGTTCTTACCTAAATCTTTTTGATCTATTTTTATTATGTTGAAGTTTCCAGTTGGACTCGACAGTTTTGCTGTTTTATATGTAAACCTTTCTTTAAGTTTTCCACTGTGCTGCAAATATACAACAACACACAGTTTGTCAAAATAAGAGGATTCAATTAAATGTTTTTGTAGATGAATCAACAGATCTATAAAATCGTCAAGAGATTCACTGACAGAAAAACACTGATCTAGTTTTTTCACTCCAAACCTGTTCATGGAAACAAGTCTGATTCCCTTTTTCTTTTTTTTTTTAATTGATTCGACTGTTATAAGGAAGCGCAGCTACTGTTTTATTCATCAAGCATTCCAGGCTCAATGGTTGCACAGCGAATGTGTGCAGATATTTTTACATCAACAGCAGATCAAATGACTTTGTGTAAGCTGAAAGGTGTCACCACGTAGTGACAACCCAACAGGGAATTATCACCCGGCTCCACCGAGTCCGTATAGAAAATAATGTTGTATAACGCTTTACAGCACATTACACATGTGACACAGGAAAATAAAACGTCCACAACTTGTGTCGTGAAGAACACGAGGTCACAGATTTTAACTTTTTCTACAAACGCCCGGTGCTGTCAACACTCTGACGCGCTGGCAGGTGCTGAGTTGGAGCTGCAGGTGAGTATCCCAACCGTTTAACCTCTGAGTGTCTCCCGTTCCCCTGCTGTAGATGCTACTCCTCTGTAGGCAACCAGCACGAAGGGAAGCAGCAACTGTCCATTGGCAACAACTGTGACCGTCTGGGAACCGTCGAGCACGAGTTCCTGCACGCTCTGGGCTTCTGGCACGAGCAGTCCAGAGCTGACCGAGATGACTACGTCGACATCGTGTGGGATCAGATTGAACCTGGTGCGAGCATGTCCACAAAGCCAGTATCTGGGTTTACTCAGCGGCTTTCAACGCGGTTCCATTCTTGTAAAAACAAAAGGCTGAATCCTTCCTTTC